CAATTTTTTCGAATTTTGCAATTTTCGCCGATTAAGTTTTAAAAATTCGTATAAAATCGATTTCTTGGAATATGAGTATGAACATTTCCCAAAATGTTAATGAAAGTGTCTTCTTTCCAATGAACCAACCCGTTTTGAAAAATAACTTCTAGTTTTTGAGAATCCAATATTTGAAATTTTGATAAAATTTCGATGTCGCAATTTTCATCGATAACTGTCAAAATTCGCTATAAAATTAATTTCTTGGAGGATCCTTGTGGAAATATCACCAATTATTAATTAAAGTATCCTCTTTTTAGAGTTACTTCGTTAGTTAAATCAGCATCAAAAAAGTTCATTTTGTATCTTGGATCCAAATAAGTTAACATATTTTATCAGCTTTCTTATTAATTTCAGTTTTACTCAAATATCGCAATAATGTGGGAATGTAGGGTATCACTTCAGAAATTATAACCATAATGGGCGGATATCCGGCCGAAGGGGATTCCGATATCCGGTTTTTCGCAAAATCAGCACTAGTTTATAACAATATTCTGCAGAATTCATCTTTTACTCATTTTACACTTGAAAATTGTTTACGAAATTACACGGAGGAACCAATAGACGTTATTGATTGGAAAAAAGACTAGAAAGGCTACAACGATGTAAAGATAAAAAGTCATTTTTGCGTCTAAGCTATTTATAAAAGATAAAACTGCCATATCTTGTTTTTTAGACGTTCCATTTCCTATGGAATTGCAATTACTGAAATAAAAGCATTTCCCTAGCAGTTGGAAAGTTCTTCAGACGCACGGCTAAACCCGAATCTTTCTAATTCTAGGTCTAGTGTTAGTTTTAATTCTTATGTAGCGCTAGATCAAGAACTGGAATCATTCGGGTTTAGCCCGAATAAGTAATTTTAAAATTTTATAACTCCTTTTATGTATTTTAAGGATTTTAAAAGAATGTTTAACATACTTCTCGTGTGAGTACTTATCTTTTAATACATAATAGCTCTTAAGCCGTTGCCAAAATGGCACTGATATTATTATAAGAATAAGAATTTCTGGCGTGAATCTTGAATACTTTTCTAAAAAGCTGTTGTAACCATACAATTTCTTTTTAAAATAATTTTTAATGGAAATTTAAATGAATAAGAAATACATGACCTTCCACAGCTTGTTTAAAGGTGGGTATAATTATAACTTGGTCTATTTTAAAAGATTCCGCCACGATAATTTTTCTGTTTTTAACTTGCCAAGAAAATACGTTGTAATAATTACAAATTCTTTCTTAATTTCTTAATTAATAAGCTAAATTGGATTTAAATGAATTTCAAAGAGTTTAATTTCTAAATAAAAATATTGAGCATGCGCTAACGATTCTCGGAGATTTAGTAAATAAACGATCGCCGAAAATCTATTTTCGTAACCAGCGAATTGTATTTCAGAGGCCCAGGAAAATCGGCATCAGCATTCAACAGCCTTGGAGGACGAGAAAACGTGTAACGTTGTTATTATTGCATGACATTGAGTTTTTGAAAACGCACACGAGTTTCTCTATTCACTCCGTGTGGGTGATTGACGACTTTTGGTTTATTTTAGGGTTTATTATTACGATATAAAACAAATACGTCGGATAAAATCATATCTACACCAATTTTGTTTTTGGTTTAGTTTTTTTTGAAAATTTTTCGAAAATTATGAAACATAGTTTTGTAATTTGACTGTGCCAGGATATTTTCGACATTTGACCGTCTCGAATCGAGCCAGTTTAGTGTCGCCACACAGCTGAGCGAAGTGGTTTTGTTTAAAATAGCTGCGCCTGCCACTTGAAATGTGGCTAAAAATGTTTACGATCATCCACTCCGAATAAATGAACCAGGTCAGCGAAATATGTTACCGAAATGGGTCACCGTCTCATATTTTAAAAAATTACATTTTTCAATTCTATTTAAAAAGATGATTAAAAATCTATTTTAATAATAATTTTTCAATCAAAATCTAATTACATAATTAATCAAAAGGTAAGGAGGTGGTTTCTTTCGAGAGTCACTGCCAATGTTATTAGAAGAAAAGTCTTTGGCATCAACACAAAATTTCTTGTTTATGAGTTATGAAATAACAAAAAAATTGCAAAATTTGCAGAATTTCGGACATAAAGATTTCTGTTCTATATTAACATTCATTAAAACCTTGAGCTGGTTTTCTGCCCCCGTATGAACTGTAAATTGTGGGGATGTAGAAGGGGCTGCTGGGGCCTAAGTGCTGTGAAGGAATTCACTCCCACATAAAACTACATACATACATATAACTGTCAAATTATTTCTGAGTTTAAATAATTCATTTTATACGGATGATTACTTTCAAATAATATTCATAACTTATTTTTTTAATGTTTCTTTAAAATATATAAAACAATTTGTAAAATTTTAAAACTTAAAATTAAGAATTTGATTGTCAATCGAAACTTGAAATTTTTTTTGACGTTTAACTGTCAAATTATTTCTGAACGTATACTAATACTTAATTTATTTTTTTAAATGTTTTATTGATTATAAAAGTATTTTAGATGAAAATGTGAAAGTAATGACGTCGAATATTATTTCTGGTAGATGGCAAACAAATTTTCGCCGAAAACCCAGCGTTACGTCCGTTTTGACGCAAATCCGGGTTTCCGTTTTAATTTTAAATTTGGCTAAAAATACATTAAAGAAGCGAGATCGCGAAATTTATCTTTCGCCCGATACAAATTTCCATATTTAGATGTTTATAATAATAAACGCGGTGGTGTGATTAATTTCGATGTTGTTTTTGGAAAGTTTTCGAATCGTTTTCGAATGATTTTTATGATTTCTTTTTTATTTTATTTTTTTTTTTTTGCTTCCAGTGTGGGCTGATTTATTTTCGCTGCGATGAAAGTGAGTGTTAAACCAAAAATAGATTTTAAATTAGGTTGTTTTTACTTTTAAATGGCACAAGATCGTGAAAATAAGTTTATTTTACCTAGATTTTTTTGAATTTACAATAAACTTACCTTGAAATTCTTTAAATTTCTCACTAACATCATGTTTTTCTTTTTGACATTGACAAATGTCAAATCGTTGTGAAGTTGGTAACAATTTGGTAAGATTTATAGGGAATTTTTTTATATCATGTTTTGAAATCGATATCTGTCACAATGACGTTTAACCTTTCGTTATTCTAAAAGAAAAAAATTATTATTTTGGGTTCATATTTATACACTAAGAATTTGAAATCGTTATTCTTTTGACATCATCCTCTACTTTTCTTATCTATTCAAGCAGTCTTCATCCATTTTTCCCTTCTTTAAACGAGCTAGATGCTCTGCCCAATTCAATTTGAATTCTACGATTGAATAACTTCGTCTTTGTACTTAGATCTTCGTTAATCGCGAATGAGGTTCTGTCAAAGATCAAGCATGGCATCTTTGACTGTAACACTCTGACACAAAATATACAAGTATCTAGCTGAATGTACAAAACTTTTTCCATTTACCATGATTTTTAGCAAATCTTAGGTTGAGCACAATCTTTGATCAATTTAATTTGAGCTTTCTCGTCATGTCTAAAACAGCAAATATTGAAAAAAATACTTCTTCCATTTCGTATTTCATTACAAAACTGATTTTACATGATTTTTAGCAAATTTCGGGTTGTACAGAAATCTTTGATCAGTTTAATTTGAGCTACAGCAGCTTTCTCATCATGTCTAAATCAGCAAATGCTTTAAAAAAATAAATCTGTTATTTCCTATTTCATTACAAAACTAGTTTTCCATGATTTTTAGCAAATCTTAGGTTGGGCAGAATCTTCGATCAGTTTAATTTGAGCTGCAGCAGCTTTATCATTATGTCTAAAACAGTAAATGTTTAAAAAAGATACTTCTCCCATTTTTTATTTCATTACAAAAGTAGTTTTTCATGATTTTTAGCAAATCTTAGGTTGAGCAGAATCTTTGATCAGTTTAATTTGAGCTGCAGCAGTTTTCTCGTCATGTCTAAAACAGAAATATTTAAAAAAATACTTCTCCCATTTCTTATTTCATTACAAAACTAATTTACCATGATTTTTAGAAAATTTTGGGTTGAACAGAATCTTTGATCACTTTAATTTGAGCTACAGCAGCTTTCTCATCATGTCTAAATCAGCAAATGTTTTAAAAAAATACTTCTCCCTTTTCTATTTCATTACAAAAGTAGTTTTCCATGATTTTTAGCAAATCTTAGGTTGAGCAGAATCTTTGATCAGCTTAATTTGAGCTGCAGCAGCTTTCTCATCATGTCTAAAACAGTAAATATTAAAAAAAAACTTCTGCCAGCTCCTATTTCGTTACAAAATTAGTTTTCCATCTTATTTTTAAAATTTCGGGTTGAACTACACCAGTTCTAGGTCTAGTATAGTACAACAATGTAGCGCTGAATAACTATAACTAACAGTAGACCTAGAACTAGAAAGTTTCGGGTTTAGCGTGGCTAAACCAGAATGTTTCTAGTTCTAAGTCGTGTTAGTTCTAATGGTAGTGAAAGTTTTTATACTCAAAGATCTTTATTTTACTAATGTACCTGCTTAAGTATTTTTTTATAAATTGTTTTAACAAAAACAAAAAAATTTATTTACATCGAAAAAACTTTCTCAAACCAAAAACTTTTCATCCATTAAACTCTCAATTCGAGTTGGAGAAATGGGGTGAAACCCTTCTTCGATTTCTTTTACATTCTCCGTCTCGTTTTCATTACGTTCGCGGTTAGCTCCATCTCTGGTCATTTCGCATTAAAGTTAAAAAGAGATGGAATGAGTTGTGACGTCATCCGATAGATGGAGCTGGCGGGCGGAAAGCCGGGAACTCGGGAACCGGAACACTGCTCCGGGTATTATTCGATGTTTACTGCTCTTTTCCGGTGTCCGAACCACTCGTGCATAGCAAAGCCCCGGACATCTGTCAAGAAGATAACTTTCTCGGGGGGATCATCGCTTTTCATTTCAAGGCAGCATCCGCATAAAGAGAGAATGTCCATCAAGGCTTTGTTAAAGGAAAAAAAAAACTACTCGGATAAAATTTTGATGGTAATTTCGAAAAAATTCTTTTGATTCATTTTTTTTTAATAAAAGACGGCGTCGGGAAGAAATACCAACTTAATACGTTTTCGCTAAATCCTGATCGACAGTTCCATCGGGGATTAAAAGTAAACGGTTTGGACAAATTGCCCTATTCTCGCGAAGCCACCGTACCTGGGGTTGTTGGCGATCGATTTGACGCCCTTAAACGCCCTTTTATAAACCCCGTCGAAAGAGGTTGTGTTGCAGCAGGGTCGGTTTACAGTTTACGAAGGCAATTGGCCGTAAGCCTAACACGCCCCCCGTATTTCACGCGGATTTGTCGATGTTTAACTCAGTTTAACTGTACCGGAAACGACATTCACACCACACGGCGCTCCTCTTCTATTCACATCTCTTCGTTTCACATCACTTCGTTTCTCCTGGTATAAAATTGCTTTTAACGTTCACCCTGCCGTATTCAATACGATTTCGATTCTATTTTAGTAGTATTAGGTTTTTGGGGGCTGTATTCTAAACCAAAAACCTTCGTCGTGTGCTTTGACTGTTGAATATAATAGGCAATTTACGTTGGTATTATTGGGTAAATTTACTTATAATAAATAAAGTAATTTTCTATTGTTATTCGATTATTTTTGGATTGTTTTTTTTGTGTAATGTCTTCCTTGTAGATTCTTTATTACATTTCTTTTTTAAAGTTTTGTTGGCCACGGCAAATTTCCTTTGTGTACGGGGCGGCCTATAAAAACGGCGATTGCCTCTGAACGATGCGACGCGGCTCTAATTGACAATTATTTTGTTACCCCTTTTTTTTATTTCACATCTCTTCCTCGCAGCGGCGCGAGATCGTAAAAACGACGACGGCGACGGATTTTACAACTCTGTTACAACCTCCTCCCTCTTTTTATCTTTTCATTTTCCTTTTATTTCACTTCTTTTTTATGTCTCTATTAATATCTACCCTATGATTCATAATCTATTCTTTTTTTAAATTGTAAATATTTTATAAAAAAACCAGCCTGTATATTATTTTCTACCAAATAAGAAGTAAGGTTATGTGCATTCTGATTAATCTGTCCTTTTGGCGTCTCTATGTTCTAAAAATATTAAAAAAGATTAAATGTGTATTAACATAATTAACGATAAGCGAACTCATGACATTGACAACTAACGATCTGGCAACGTCGCTCGCTTCGTTTCTTTCTAAATAGGCCATAGTCACTTAGAAAAACAAATTTTGAATTAAAATTTTATCCTTACCAAAATTAATTAACTAAATTAAATATATGTGTCAACAAGATTATGATCTTGTTGGAACAAGTTTTTGATCACCTTGGAAGTGTATCTTTAGGCTTTTTCGAAAAATTATAAAATTGAGTGTGCAAGAAGACTCTAGTGAGGCAGTAATGATGTCTTAATATCTTGAAAGACTTATTCTCTGCGGTAATAATGTTTTCTTACATTTCTTCATCTTAATAGGAAGAAATCTTGTAAATGACCTGCTCTTCATGAATTTATTGTGATGATACAAACTATAAGATGTGTGTCGCTTATTGCATGTAATCTAGATACATTTATGATTTCAGCAAAAGAGAATGATCGTTTAATAATCATATCGGTTTTTCGTTGAAGTATCCAGTACAAATTGAGCAAAGTACTGGGAGTAAAAGCATTCAGTCCTTACAATTTGAAAGTAAACTACTTAGGCTCGTTACTACCATCTTCTGGTTAAGCTATCTAAGGGATTATTACACGGTTACGGCTATTTTACGCGCTCTGATTGGCTAGTAGATGGGTTTATCTATAAGATAAATTTAACTAAAAGATGGTAGTAATGGACCTTAATGTAAAAGAGTAAGTACTGTGATAGGTAGGCCACTGTAAGCAGTATTTAGTCTTCCATTAACAATATCTAATCCTCTGTCAACTATAGATACTCTGTTACTTGCAGAATCTTGTCTTCTGTCAGAAGAATCTAGTTCTCTGTAAGCAAAATCTAGTGTTCTGTCAGTAGTGACTAGTTTTTTGCCGGCACTATTTAGTCTTTCATTAACAGTATCTAGTCTTCAGTGAGCAGTATTCAGTCTCCTATTTGCAAAATGTAATTTTCCATTAACAGTATTATTCGTCTGCCAGCGGTATCTAGTCTTCTGCAATTAGTAGATAGTCCTCTTCCTGCAATATTTAGTTTTCCATTAATAGCGCCTAGCCTTCTGCCAACATATTTTGGTATCTAGAACTATATAAGCAGCAACGTAGTCCTTTCTCAGCAGTATCTAGTCTTCTTGCAGCAATATTTAGTTTTCTATAGTAGTTTCTAATCTTCCATTAACAGTATTTATTTTTCTGACATGTGTCATTAAAAGATTAATCATTGCTACTAACTTCAATTTAATTTTAAAAGTAATGTAAGAAATGCCGTACGGCATAGACGGGCTGTGGAAGCGCTAAAGTGAGATGGCGAACTCATGACATTGACAACAAACGATCTGGCAACGTCGCTCGCTTTATTTCTTTCTAAATAGGCCATAACGTCACTTAGAAAAACAAATATCTAATAATCTGTCACCTATACATAGTCTTTTGCCTGCAGAATCTTGTTTTCTGCCAGAAGAATTGAGTCTTCAATAATCAAAACCTAGTGTTTTTCCAGCAGTGTCTAGTTTTTTTTGCCAGCATTATTTAGTCTTTCCTTGGAAGCATTTAGTCTTCTGTTTGCAATATGTAGTCTTCCATTAACAGTATTATTCTTCTGCTAGCGGTATCTAGTCTTCTGCAATTAGTAGGTAGTCCTCTCCCTGCAATATTTAGTCTTTCATTAACAGTGTCTAGCCTTCTGCCAACATATTCTGGTATCCAGAACTCTATAAGCAGCAAGTAGTCTCTAACTCAAAATTTTACAATAAAACAAAGATATGAATTTTCTTAGTTTGTCAAAAAGCGAAATCCTCATGGGTTTCCAATAGTTTCTTCTGATTTAATACACAGCTAATGTTTATTTTGTGTTTTGCTACATACATCGCTTAGATCCTCCATTTTGACTTATTCAAGACTTGATTCTCATTACTAAAGACTAGATACTGCTTTTAGAAGACTAGATACCGCTGGCAGAAGACTAAATGTTGCCGGCAAAATACTAAATGCAATTAATGGAGTATTGATCATTATAGAAGACTAATTACAGTTGTCAGAGGACCTTATACTGTTAATACCTGTTGATCTTAGCTGATACTGAATCCTACATACACTAAAAAGAGTTGTTAATAGAAAGATGGTAAATTTGGCAAATTATATATTATTAAATAATCACTTTATACATTACTTTTCTTATTAGTGTTAGTTAATTTGTGTTTATCTTGGGTGTTTCACACCTCATCATGTGAAACGTTCGGCAAGGAAGCTCCCGGGAACAAACCGCATATTGCACCACCTTTACAAAACAAATATTTACCACCGACGGGGTTCTATACCAATTTTCACTACCGTTGCCGTCGCGTTTTCAACCCCCGCCGCCGCTTTCCCCCTAATTGAAGTCAACAACGACCCTGCGTCCATGAAATTACGCTCATTTGATCCTCGCAAATATTTACTCCCGTTTCGTCACTTTCTTTTTTATTACTAAATACCACACCTTCGAATACGTTTCCCTGAAATTTTTAATGTATTTTCGTTGGGATTCCAGGAACGTCTGAAACTTTTTTTAAATGTTCTCCGAGGTTTTTTTGATAGGTTCATGCGCTTTGGAAGGATACCTAATTTCCGGCCCTGTTTTAGGCGTGGCGGCGACGACCAATCCTAGAGTCTTTCGCTCAGGTGTCGCCATGGCAACAACGACGGGTGCTACTTTCCCGTTATCCTTTTCGATCCTTTTCCAGATCCTTTTACGCAACCTCATTAACCCCTTTCTGCCTTTTACTCCGTTTTTCAGTTACAATTTTATCCACAAAATATTTTTCTTACAAATACAATTCTTTAATCCGTTACTACAGTTAAATTTGACAAAGTGATTACAGATAATTCGTCCAAAAGCTTTAATTTAATACCTTTTTAGAATCAAAGAAGAAAGAATATTTCTAATGTAATTTTCAAACAAGTCTGTTGTTGTATTACTGTTAAATGAGGTAATATTTAAATGGATAAAGTGTTGTTTTATAGTAAGTGTTACTATATAACTGCTGGCAGAAGAATAATACTGCTAATGGATGACTACATATTGCAAATAGCAGACTGAATACTGCTTACTGAAGACTAGATATTGCTTATGAAAGACTAGATACTGCTGACAGAAGACTAGGTTCTGCTGGAAAAAGACCAGAATATGCTGGCAGAAGGCTGGATTGTGCTGGTAGAAGAAACGATTAGTCAGTGCTGTCTTCTCATTGCACCAAAGCAATATAATCCCTAATAAATTCAAACCTAACTGAGATAGTTTTAACAAATAAAGTTAATTATGAAGAACAAGAAAAATAGAATACCATTACAGTGTTTACATTTTGTACCATTACTATTAAATGTATTAATGGCAGAAATAGCATATTATACAGGGTGATTCTCAACCTATACGCATAAACTTGGGGATTTCCTCCTCATGACAAATAATGACTAATAGGCGAAAAAATTTGTAGTAAAAGATTTTCTGTTCATAGATATCTGTGATATTTACTTTCAAATCAAGAATACATAGAACATTTTATGTATTCATAAAATACAATCACAGCAAGTGTTCGAAGTTATTTCCCATATTTTTTATCAGTTGGGTTTCCCGAATCCACGATCTCCTACTAGCACAGCCTAAACCACGGTGTTGGCAGAATGTCTGGGCAGCAGCATGTACTTGATTTTGCAATATTTGTTCAGTATTAACTTCCGTGGCGTAACCTATGCTTTTCAAGTGACTCGAAAAGTAAAACTCAAGAGGATAGAGGCCGAGCGATCACCGTGGTCACGCCATTAGACCATCTCGATCTATCGATATCTAGGAAATTGAAAAACTTTTACTACAATTTTTTTCATCTATGAGTTATTATTTGTCATGAGGAATAACATCCCAAATTTATGCGTATAGGTTGAGAATCACCCTGTATATAAATATTAAATAAAAATATTATAAATAGTATACATGAATGTTTCTAGTTCTAGGTGTAATGTTAGTTCTAGTGACAGATATCATTATGTTGCATATTTGTATTGAATTAAAACAAGAACTAACACTAGACCTAGAACTAGAAATATTCGGGTTTAGCCGTGCGTCTTCAGACGCACTTTCTAGATACTTTCTAGGTCTAAGTAGTGTTAGTTCTTGTTTTAGGGCCGATTTACATCAGACGAGCGAATGCTCATTATATCCCCACTCTATCATATTCTTTTAGTGTAAACAGATGTAGAGCATTCTTTCGTTGTTCTCTCTGTGTTCTCAGAGATTCTAGGGAATATTCTAGGAATGTTTGATCGCTTGATGTAAACGGCACTAGAGGCACTAGGCCACACCCAAATATTTCCAGTTCTAGGTCTAGAGTTAGTTCTAGTGACAGTGCAAGTGTAAAACTAGAACTAACACTATACCTAGAACTAGAATCATTCGGGTTCAGCCGTCTTTAGAGACGTGCGGCTAAACCCAAATGATTCTAGTTCTAGGTATAGTGTTATTTCTACATAGGTATGGTGCTAGTTTAAAATTAGACTAACACTACACCTGGAACTAGAAACATTCGAGTTTAGCCGTGCGTTTCTTAAGACAGCCGAAAACTTAGGGTTATCATAAAGACGTCACCTTTTTGCAAGCAAATCTTTTCCTTTGTAAAACTATCCAATGCCTGTACTATTAAGCTATATTGCATTTTATATACTGCATTCATGTATCTCAGTTATAATAAATTCCCGATATACATAGTATAATGTGTATATCGAATTTCAGAAGGTTTCGTGACCAAAGTTAATGCATCCACATTCTAGGACATTTATCAAAGCCATCGACCATTGATCAAAATTTATGATACATCGGTGTATGCACGTCCGGTGACGCTCCATTATCGGTTAGTATATTAGTCGATCTGCGTGCGCGATATCAACGCGGCGCACGTGCCCATCGAACGATGCGCTTTTGTATTCGACACGTGACTTTAACACCCGTACCATCTAAAAAAAAAGCTTCATATACTCAAATATTACATTAAGTATAACGTTATAATCATTAGATAAAAATTACGAAATTATATATATACGATATATACCTGGAAAGATATAACGATTTTAGGTATTGCGACACAATGGGATCGTTTTGGAAAAAGGGAGAACGGGAACAATAAGGACCGTTTTCAGGGTGCGCGCATCCATCACTGGGTAACATAAAGAGCGGCGTTCGCGTCAGAGGGCGGAACTTCCTTTCTGGTCGCGCCCCACAAAAACTTACACGTGTTCTCGACCATTGAAACTGGGCCGAGATTCTACACGGCCGCAAATATTGATTTCTCGGATGACTTTCTTGTATTTCAAATTACGCAACCCCGGAAACGCACCTCAAAAACGATACAAGAAAAAAAAAGGGAATGCATTGAAAAGAAGAACATTTTAAAAGTCGTTATAAAAATGAAATCGCACCTGGATTTATTTATAAAGTAATAAAGTGAGTAACCTAGATCGAATAATAAACAAGAACGAGAACCCGGTGATTTATGATGGGTCGTAAGAAGAAGTTGTGGAAAGTAATCAGCGTTATTCGCGCCAGCCCGGATACGGAAACAATCCGTAAGTCCTATTTCCTGAAAACATCCACGATAGTTGGAAAAAGCTTCGCGAACGAACCAAGTTAATGATGACCTACCATTACTAGGAACCAATCGGAACGCGTTTCAGGTAATATTACGATGGTCATGCAAAGTGGTGGAGGCAACGGGTTTTTTTTCGTCGAGAATAAATGATCGAAAAGGGGACAAAACCTTCGTCGTATCGAACAAACAAATTTGGAGGATTGAGGACCCAGAAGATTGTTACTAAGAATTAACATGGGAGCATTTCAACGTTGAAGCACCTGGTTGAAAACATCACGCAAACAAGAAAACGAAATTATTAACGATTTATTATTACAGTTAAAACTCGATATAACGAAACAACCTCGTTAGATCGGACAAAATATTTTAAGTCATATTATTTAATACATCAGTATATTTAAGTATATGTAGATAGAATCCAACTTAGGTCTAATGTTAGTTTTTGTTTTGGATCAAGTCTTGACTAATTGTAAGTCAAAATGGATGATCTAAGCCTCCATTGGTAGTATTCAATCTTTTGCAAGCAACAAGTGGTTTTCTGCGTGCAGTGTCTAACGGTCTATCAGCCGAATTTAGTTATCTATCAGCATTATCTAATTTTTTGCAAGTATCTAGCAATATTTAGTCTTCTACCGGCAGTACATCGTCTTTCGGAAGGTCTAGTCTTCAATTAATAGTATGTAGTCTTTTGAAAGTCTTCTGCCATCAGTATTTAGTCTTCTATAGGCAGTATATCGTCTTCCGGAAAGTCTAGTCTTCTGACCACTATCTAATCCTCTGCCATCAGTATTTAGTCTTCTGCCAGTAGTATCTAATCTTCTATAGAAAGTCTTCCGCTAATAGCTTACAGAAAACTACAAGCAATATTTAGTCTTTTACAAACAATAAGTGGTTTTTTGCTGGCAGTATCTAGTCTTCAATTAGAGTTTAGCTTGCTATAAGCAGCATCTGATCTTTTGCACCTATCTAATTCTCTACCAGCAATATCTAGGCCTCTATAAGAACGATCTAGTCTTCAATTAGTAAAATCTAGTCTTCTATCTAGTTTTTTGCAAGCAGTATCTGGTCTTTTGCCAGTTTAAAGTACAAATTAAGAATTTTTCATATAACGGAGTTTTATATCGAGGTTTATTAAAAATTATTTTGCGATTTATTAAAAAAAGTTGATGAAAAACGTTGATTTCAAACAAAATTAATTTTTGTAGTTTTATCTCCCCTCCGTGTCTCATCAACGCCTCCTTCTTTACCACCACTTCTTTCACGTCTTTAACAGACGACCTCCGCAGGCGATAATGAGGCGCAATCTAAACGGGCGTTCCGCCTCCCGAGACCGGCGATTGCCTCCGTATTTCTTCATTACATCGCCTCCTTATTAAATAACTTGTTAAAGGAAAGGAGAAGGGGGACTCATGAAGGAGCGCCGTTGACTCAGACTCCAAGATCTGAGAACTAATGGACGTTAATTGAGAGCATCTCTTTAAAGACTTATTATCGCCTTTTTAATTAACTTTTTTTGGGTTTTGTTCTTTAAAACGTCAAAAAGGAATTAATCCAAACTTATTTTCTGGTAAATTTGATTGTATGCGATGTGTGTAATACATATAGTACATTTCGAATAGGGTGGTGACGTGATTCCCTGGTAAATATCGTATAATACGACACCGATGTTACCAAATATAACACCAGGGATTTATTTTGAATGTCTCGTACTCGTTTTGATTTCGATGGTGTATTAACAAAAGCCCCACCCTAGTTACATACGAATTACATGGGGTTGATTCCCATGGCCATATTGGTACCGTTTATTGCCCCATTTAAACGATGTCATGAATCGAAATTAATTCATGAATCAAGAACTTTTAAAGATTTCTTCGCGAAACTTTTATATAAAGTTATCTTTTCTGTAGTCACCCCGAGTAATAAAGTTTGACAAGTAAAGCCTTTCTGGGCTAATATAACATCCGCACGGGTTTCGGAGGGCGAAACTCAGCCATTGTGGGGTGCGCTTATTGAATATCTGATGTGATCCACTTAGTAAAGTCACCCCGAGTTCTAATTGCACCCCGTGGTCTATTGAAATTTTCGGGGGTGAGAGCATATGAGAAATAATGTAAACTCATCCATTGTGTTTCTTGTTTGGATGCTTTATTTTAATGCGCGATAAGCCCATCAAAAAGTTACTCGCTAAATCGAGTTTTTTTTTGTTTCCTTTTATGTAATGATTTGAAATTTGATTCTATTTGGTAAATGTATCGTAAGCGATAACGTTCGATTCCCCTAAACCCAACAAAACGGACCAGTTTATGGATAATATCGAGGCTATTATGTTGATACACCTGACTGGGTATTTTTATCTGTTGATTTTATTAGTTATAATTCAAACAAAAAGTTGTTTTCTATTTCGTATCAATTAAATTTATAAGAAAATTAACTTTAAGTTACTAAGAGATGGGTGAAAGATGTTGTGTAAGTAAGTTAAGAAATCTTTACCAGAGGACCATGATGTTGCTTGTGTTACTTTTGTGCTAAATTACTCTGTTGCTAAACTCATTGTAATGGGGAGGTTTTGTTACATCCAACTAAACCTTGTAACCAAATACTGCAGCACCATGATTACTGATGATCTCAGCTAAACTTATGAAGGAAACTTCGCCTGATTATGATGGAAATATACGATTTTACCTAAACAAGGTAAAATTGAAGCCAAGGCGTTGCAGTAAAAACCATATCACACGAGTCCTAAAAGAAGAATTAATGTCTGAAGCAAGGCTAGTATTTGCAAGATATCGCAGAAATCTGAAAAACAACCAAACCACATTAATCTAACCTTGGCAGCTGTTTATCATCAACTTACCTAAGTTTGGAAAGAAAAGTTCTATGAAAAATATGAAATAGAATCAGTCTCGTCATCTGGAAATATGTCAAATTAGTTTTTGAGAATTTTTAAAATCATTAAACCATCATTAATTATGTTCACCATAATGAGAAAAAAGCTCAACTCAAAAACTTCTAAGTAGTACTTTGGTATTTTTTTAGAAATGGTATATCGAAAATAAAAAAAAAAAAATCTTAACTTTTTTGGTTTTACAGATGTTGGTGGAATTGATTGAAATCTTGATTCCTCCCTGGTTTGAACTGCTCCTTTTTCCCCCTTGGTGGAATGTGCTGGTACCCCCTTGGTGGCTTTCCGGAAAAACTATTCCGATGTCTCCTTTCCCAGGTTGGTTATCGTACTCTTCTTAATTAATTTTAGCTTCTTTTCTTCTCCCTCAATTGTAAATTTCTTTGGTTATGTTTTTTCTTCAGAAATTTATCTTCGTAGGAGCGTTTCGAAATAGATGTTTACTCAATGATGATCAGGAAGCGAATCCTAGCGTCCTCGTTATTCATTTTTCACCCTTTTTTCGGCAAAAATCGACAAAAACTTCTCTTTTTTGTCCATCACCTTCTTTGATACCACAAGAAAAAGTGTAAAAAATTTGTATTTGTGAGCGCCATCTCTTATTGACATTTGGTTTTTCTTCCAAATTTTCAAAAATTACTTTTTAAATAAACTATATTTATTGAAATCCTTGAATGTTTGAATACTCTGAATTATTTCATTCCCCTTTGACACAATTTTTCACATTAATTCTTCTTTAATTCCAAAATTTATATTCCGTTTCTTTCAAAATCTTCACATTTTTAATTTCCAACATTTCGGTCTTAAACTGATCAAAATCACTTGAATCTGATGTAATTCATTATAAGCTTTATGTTTTTAGGTATTTCAAGAAGTTTTTTGGCTGTAATCACCCATAAATTGAATATTTTGGATTTGGAGGTTATGTTTCGTTTTTTGTGTGGCCTCTTTTCTCTTTTTAACTAAATACAAGAATATTTCTTAATCTACGACGGAAATACGGACGGATTTATCATTGATTAAAACATTTTTACAAATAACGAAATCAATGAGAACTATAACAAACTTTTATGAAATTTTTCAACAATCAGCTTTAACTATCCTCGGTATATCAACTTTGATATCAATACGTGAGTTGTTCTTTATATTTTAATTATAATATTAATTTGAACGATTTGAAGAAGTACTAATAAACTCTCTAGGCTCTCGATTTACAAGGATTTTTCTACGGAATGTCATTATTTCCTCTTTATTGTAATTATTTCTTATAACAAAACTATTGTTTATTAATTAATTAATAAAATTATGAGTGGAACCCAATATTATTACAATATATTAAGGTAAAATTTTGTGTTTGTATATTATTATGAAATATCTAACTCTATCAAAACAAACCCCTTTCAAAAATATTTGAGGATGCGACGCCGATAAATCATGAATGGGGCGGAAACAACCCCCATAAAAACAATAAGTCAGCCCTTTTTTTCGTCGCGAACCGGGGGTGGCAATTAGAGCTGAAAGATGATCGGGAGCATTATCAGCGACTGCGCGGCTCTTTATTCGGACGTCGGCCCGAACTTCCGGTTTCCGGTCGCCCGTCGGAACAAGATTTAACACTCTCGCGGTTATGATGCGTACACCAACAACCAACAACCCCTCCGCTTCCATTTCACTCGTTTATACGCACGCACGCGATCCATCCCCCTTCATTTCATTTTCGACCAAACTCAAATAATTTGCTTATAATGGATTTTCCTCTTTTTCTAACCATTAATTTTTTTTTTGTTCCAACTTCTTGTTTAAATCGATTTCGTTGAATCTCCAATTCTTGAATATAAAGATTTATTTTGTATAGAAATCTGGTCAGATAAATAGAAGCAATCCTTATTTATTTTTCCGCTTCCTCAAGATCTTTTTTCTCGTCATTGTGTTTTTTTTGTGTCCCCTTCGGCGGCTAATCCGCCTTAATTCCCGTCCGGTCTTTAACCATCCGATGCAGACGCGAAGGGGCCGACCATGAAATGGGCTACCAGCGGGAGAGATTCAACGTTTTTTTATGTTATTAGAAATTGGGGTGAACTCTGGACATGTCCGAGTACACTAAATCAACCCCAATTCTTTTTTCTTTTTTATCCGAAATCACTCGTCCAGTTTGGATTGAAACATATTTACTTCCCTATATTTCTCCTTCCTAAGTAATTGTATTTAATCGTACTGATGATAATAATGGTTTATAATTTATTAAGCTTTTTCGTTCATTGAAACGATTTTACTCGATTTAACTTCGTTCATTCATCTCGTGGGTGGTCATAGTGATTTGCCATGCGGATAAAGGTATGAATGGTTGGTTTGTAATGGTCATAAAAACCACAAAGGAGCCACCTTGACGTGTGTAGCGAAAATTTGTACAAATAGGTCTTTGTTGTAGTATCTTTTTGAACCAAACAAATTTTGAGCCACTTGAGGGCGTGCTACTCTATTTATGAATCAACGTTTTCGTCAATGAATCATGTGGGCGGATACTGTTTTGAAAAAATTCCAGATGGTACTTTTAACCCAATTCTTCTATTTATATATATATTTTCTGGAGTACAATAAAACCTCATTAAACTCCGGGTATTCACCGACTTGTCTATATACTGTCTTAAGAGTCATTTGGTTTTTTTTTTGGTTAGACAACCAATATTGCACGCGAAATGTCATTTTAATGTCAATTTTTTTATTAATTTCTTTTAATATTCTTATTTAATTAAATAAAAAAGTATTTACCGATCCAACAATTTCACAAGTTCCATTTGGTGCTGCATCTCTCGTGTAATGATCTCCAATCGGTTTAATTACGTCTTTGTAACTCCAAAAAGTCCATTTGATGATTTTCTTTCAAGCGCTGTACCTCCAATTTTTGGGTTTGCTACAATTCCAATTAAAATAATTATTTATGCATTAAGTAAGGTTATATTAATTCTAAAACTTTTAATGTGCAACTAAATATCAAGGTCAAACTTTTAGAATTTTTGTTGGTATTACCTAGGGTCCCTATAACATTAATGACATTATCGAATTTTTAGTGACATTTTCGGTAACTAAGTAAATAATTGAGGTTAAGTAACGAATTAATACATATTTAAATATAATTTTAAGAAAATACAAATTTATTCAAAAGTACTTACTAAATTTAGTGAAAAGTAATGAAAATAAACAATTAGAAGTCAAATTTGAATTATTTAAATGTGATTTTAAGATCGAGATGTGAATTATGTAAGTTAAAACGTCAATGTGACAGCTAAAAAATTATACTAAAAACTTTTACTAGAACTGGAAACAATTATACAACAACCTAACGCTGAATAATAACTAGAACTTATTGTAGCACTAAAACTAGAACTAACACTAGACTTAGAACTAGAAACATTCGGGTTTAGCCGTCTTAAGAGACGTGCGGCTAAACCCGAATGTTTCTAGTTCTAGGTCTAGTATTAGTTCTAGTTTTAATTGTGATTCAATGTTAGGTTGTTATATATTTTTATTGAACTACCACTAGATCTAGAACTAGAAACAAATGTTTCTAAATGTTTCTAGTTCTAGATCTAGTATTAGTATTAGTTATTATTCAACGTTAGATTGTTATACATTTTTCTTATTTAACTGAAACCGTCTCTGTATCTTAATGATTTCGACTATAAGTTGAAAGTGAACATCATCAGCCTTCTGTTGGCTATAGAAGCACGTATTGAAGGTGGTACGAAGGAAGATGGGACCACAATGGCTCGGTGTGTGGTTCGCTGTCACTAATTGCTGACCAGGTGCTAGCCCCATTCCTCGGCGAGGAGTGCGCTATCCCCGGTTTTATTGTTATTTTTTTTTTAATATCCAATCTGCCCTTTATGGTTTCATCGTCGGCTCGGACGTCTTTGTTCAGATTGATCCTAAATATTACCAAATTACATTTAATATAAATTTTATATAATATATATTTATTTTTAACACTTCATTTCTAACTAAAATAATAATTATAATAATTTCTTTAATAAGATCTCATTATGAAACGTTTTTTTTTGTGGGTCTTTAGTTCGTGCCTGTTTTCTCGTCTTCAGTCAAGTTCCATTCAACCGACGGACCAAAGATTGATTGCCCGAGTCTAAATCACCGCGCCACCTCTTTACACACTCGATAAAAGGAGGTGAGTTTGAAAACATCTTGTTTTATGCTACTTAATTATCGCCGCGATTTATTACCCAGGGGTGTAATCATCATTTTTCTTTCACTTCTTCTTCATATGGACGTCGCTAACTGCCTGAACATCGGCATTTAAAATAGTGTGTGAACCGATTTTCTTTTTATTCTTATTGGGAGTTTCTTTCAACATAACAAAGATATGAATTAAAATGAAATTTAATTTTTATTATTTTCATCAATAATTTATTGGGAATCCTGTGGTGTAGAAGTTAAAGAAAAAGGACGTGGCAACGGCGTTGGCTGGAAGAAGGAGTAACGGTTGTGGCCGGGAAACGCTCTCCGGAGGTAATTAAATCCGCCGGGCCCTTGATATCTATATTGTGGTCGCGCGAGTTGCGTAAAGGCGCGACAATGGCTTCGGGTTTACGCCGGCCAATATAACCAAATTGCGGTAATCAATTTAACAGCAGTAATTTCACGGTTGCCGTACGAGCAGCGCTCGGTTTTAATGAAATCATTACGGGAACGCGGATGACGCGGCGCCCGCCGTCGGTCTGCGGTCGCCGCACTGCCATCAGGGCCCCAGCGCGACGCCACCGCCACCACCTCCATCACTGCCGACGTCGACGTCGACGCCGATAGATTCTGTGGTCTGCCGCACCGGAACCAACTGACTTTCCAGTACCGGATTATCACTCTCCAATACAATAAATTAGTTTCAATCATAAAACAAAAATTTTAAAACTAAAACATCTATCCATAATGATGAATACATAGTTATGTCACAATAAGATGGACCAATAAGATCTTTGGATCACAATTTCCGTTGATTATAATAGCAACAAACTACTTTAAAAGCTGTTAACTTCGTTATCTTTAGTGATAGTTTAATATTAAATACATCACTAGAAAGCCTGATCTGTTCTTCATCTATATCCGGTGTCAATATTATGATATCAACGGCAGAAAAAAAATTAAAGAACGAACTTCAAGCCTGCGTGTAGCCGTTATGGATTCGAATTAAAAAAAAAGCTTTATCAATTTGAAAAGGACACACTTTGGACTATCTAAATCCGGGTTTTGTTCGATCAATATCTACAACCTTACATATAGAATTGGTGGATTGGCATACTTACGACGTCATAACTTTCTTATATGATACAATCAAAACTCTTAGACCATATAAAATGTATAGAAAATTTTCTGCTCTATGCAATGGTATACAACTTTAGTAAATCGCATGATTGCCCAAGAATTTCCCCCCAAAAAGCTGCAAAATTCGTTTGTAATTACCGTATTTAAATGTATACGGCGCGTCATAACTTTCCTATATGATACGAACAAAACCTCAAGACCATATAGAATCTATAGGAAATTTTCTACTCTATGTAGTGGTATATAACTTTAGTAGATCGTAAAGTTGCATAAACATTTTCCTCCCAAAAACTGCAAAATACGCCTGTAATTACCGTATGTAAATGTTTACGGCGTCATAATTTTCTTATATGATACGATCAAAACTCCGAGACCATATACAATCCATAGGAAATTTTCCACTCTATGTAGTCGTATATAACTTTAGTAAGTGGCATGTTTGCACAAGAATTTTCTCCCCAAAAACTGCAAAATCTGCGTATAATTACAATATGTCAATGTTTATGGCGTCATAACTTTCTTATATGATACGAACAAAATTCGGAGACCATATAGAATATGTAGGAAATTTTCCACTCTATGCAATGGTACATAATTTTAGTAAATCCCATGGTTGCACAAGAATTTTGTCTCCATTAACTACAAAATCCGCGTGTAATTTCCGTAAGTAAATGTTTACAACGTCATAACTTTCTTATATGATACGAACAAAACTCCGAGACCATATACAATCCATAGGAAATTTTCCACTCTATGCAATGATACATAATTTTAGTAAATCTCATGGTTGCATTAGAATTTTCTCCCTAAGGAACTTCAAAATCTGCGTATAATTACCATATGTCAATATTTACAGCGTCATAACTTTTTTATATGATACGAACAAACCTCCAAGACCATATAGATTACAAGTTGCGACGCACGGCTAAACGCGAATGCTTCTAGTTCTAGCTCTAGTATTAGTTTTATTGCTAGTGTTAGCTCTACTTTTATGGCAATAAAAATTAGAGGAGTTGATTTATTAAATAACAAAATAAAGTACCATAACTTTGTACGACGTTAATTAATTAAGTTAAACAATACGATTAATATAGCATGTTGTAGTTGATTATAGTAAAACAAAATTAATATAAATTAGCATAAAAATCGATAACCGATGATTGTGATTAAGGGAACCCCGCGTTTAATTTGGATGTGCAGGTGGTGTGAATCACGCCTAATCAGCTGCTCGGGACCGTGCCCCACGCACCACGGGGTCGCATTATCGCCTATTAAACGGTACATCTGCCCTTTCACATTGTTTTTAGAATGTATCGGTGAGGGGCAAAAAGCTCATCGCACGCACTTCCTAAACTGATTCCGAACTAAATTGGTCAATTACGTTTTAGTACGCGAACAACCAATTTTATATTGCTTTATTTGAATACAAAACAAAAACTTTTTATTTTTTTTATTCCAAATAAAAACTAAACTGTCCGCGTTGAATGTTGTGTTAGTTTCCAACAAATAGGATTAGAAAGTTTTCTAATCTCGCTTCTATTCGTTCCTATTTATTTCGCCACCCTCTAAAGACCTGTCAAGGTATCCCTGTTGGAATTTCCGAACTTCCCCGGTTCTATACTTTACTAATCCGTTAAACGTTTCTTTTTCTTAACAATTTTATTTGAATCTTCTTTTAAATATCGGAAGGAAGGAAAAAATACAACTAAACTTCCTTTCAGTTGTGTATTAATCCGCTTGGTTGGGCTTTTTGGTGCGATAAGAGGTGGCGAACGTAGCGGTTGGGTTGGTGTTAATAACCGGGCGAAGCCGTCGGGTATTATGACGTCCAAACGAGTCAAAGAGATAAGGGAGCCAATGGACTGGACATGACGATGCGAAAATCTCTTGGGGTATCCCATTCATCATACATATAACATATTGTGTATGCACTAGCCGGTCGGAATCAACCATCCTGAAACTGAGATAACTTTACCACCATATTTATTGTAAAACGGGGTGAAGAATATTTTTGTTGAACACGAATTTTGCCACTTCACGGTGCGACGTTTAAAATCGGAAGCTGTACTTGATTATCGTTGATGTTGTCTTCATCTTCCCCGGTAACACTGGTGTCCAGTCACGGCCAGAAAACGATTCGTCTCGCCTACCGCTTACGCTTTTATAACAATACAATACGTCGACGAATCGATCGGCCTTCGACGGTTACCTGAGCTTAATACGATTTCACCCTTCGCGTAACGCCAAGAGTAATGTTTACTACACACGGAAGAACACGTACCGATAAGAATTATACAACAATAAAAATCATCGACTCTTTTAGTTTGTTGGCAAAAAAAAAATAAAGAAAAAGAAAATGGATAGAGATAAACGTGTGGGATTTCCTTTTTTGGGTTCATTCTATTATTGTGGGTTAATTGCGTTTGGGGTTTTCGCCGGATCAACCGTGAAAAGAGAAGAGAACACACCCAGAATCACCTTGTAATATGTGATTGCGTCTAAAACAAGACTTTTCAACAAATCAAAAGATTGCAAACTTAATAATTCCTGGAATGTAATTTGCGGTTTGGACATCTTTATTAGTTATATGAGATATTGCGTGAAATACTACACAAGTAATTATCTAATAATCCTTGAAAGTTATAACTTATAACTCAATTTCATTTGTTTCCATGGTTAAGTTGTTTATCCAAAGTACGATTACCTCATTTCCTCATTTCCCGTGCTTTCGTCCGTTTTCAATTTGCTAGTGGACATAAAAAACACGAAAACTTTTATCCTTTTCCTCCAAACGAACGAAATTCATTCCAAGAACCAAACCGAAAATCTAAATTGGCCGTCGCCGGGCAATATATTAAGAGACAACTATCGGAGCGAAAGGGATCGCCGTAATCAAAGCTACCCTCTACGACATAAAACAAACGACTGTAAAATCAAGTCGTCTCGCCCAATTTACTCGTCGTCGTGGTGTTTCTCTCTTTCTCTACGTTCGCATTTTAACATATTGGTTTTCTGTCCGCGCCTTCCCCCTTTTTGTTACGACCTTAACTATACAGGGATGGAGAACGATCCTCGATTTAAATCTTATGCCAAGTTAAAGTTTAAATTAAATTGACTGAGGGGGTGATTTTAAATTGAAGACAGGGTTGATAGCGGTTTATTAAAGGCACATCTGAAGAGGATTAACGTAATTTATCAAAAATGAGAGTGAAATACAAGGGTGGTGATGGTTATTGCATTGATAATGATGTTTCTGATTGATGAGGAGAGAGAAGTAAGGTTATAAATAACGTGAGGATGTTAAGATATATATAATTAATATCAAACGTGATGGTTAATTAAAGAATTTTGTTGGTTTTGACCACACAACTCATCTCATACTGGAAATTGTAACTTATAGATTAATTAATACCCTAGATAATCAGCGGAAAGAACATATTTGATAGCAAAATAATAGCGATGTTAAAGGAAGTTATTCAACGCAGCTTTGCCAACCAACTATCAATTTTCAAAACTTCGATTATTAATTATTTACGCATATGAGAGTAAAAGTGAAATATTATTAAGAATGAAATAAGCTACAATTTTTATTCTAAAAGTTTTTTTATAAAATGCCCAGTTTCCCGAGTGTTACCATTAATAACCAGGAAAAGCAACAAATTCAACGAATTTTCATATTTTTCTCAATATTGATGCATCTGATTGTGAGAGCAAAGTGTAAGAGAACAATATTGTTAAGAACAGAATTTGCAATAACTATTGTTTGAAAAGCTTGTGTAACCATGCAATCTACTAAAGTTATATGCCACTGCATAGAGCGGAAAATTTCTTATAAATTCTATCAGATACTTTTATAGAAATAAAACTAGAACTAGAAACATTCGAGTTTAGCCGTAGTTCTAGGTCTAGTGTTACTTTTAGTAAGTGTTAGCGAATGTTTCTAGTTCTAGGTTTAGTGTACTGCACTTACTTTAATAAAAATGTACAACAATCTAGCACTGGATAACAAATTAATAACTTGTCGAGGTGAAACATTATTGGATTCATCCGGGCTGACATCTTCTATGTTATACACAACATCAAATAATTTCCTATTTTCTCCTTTTCCCCTTTTAATATCATCACAGGTCCTAAAACTTCACTTTTATTCCTATATATTATTATTATTAAACTATATAAATGATTTATATTGATTTTAATTCTTAAAATAAAACTTTTTTTGACAATCTTGACATTTCTTCTTGTGTATATATCTGAAGTTAGTTATATAGCACCNATTTAAAATTTATTGTTTAAAAAGATTTTTAAGCAGATTCTTCAATACTGGAAAAAATATAATGTAATAAAAAAGACATTCGCAAGATTCAAAGATTATAAGGCGTCGTTGTGTGTCGCAAGTGCTTATTGCATCTGCGACTCTTTCGTACCCGGCGCCATTAAATCCGCAGAATCGTTTTTCTATCGCCACTTTCTTGCCACCAAACCCCATATATTGCGATTATTGGATATTGTCGATCGACGGCGGCAACCTCATTCCCACGACATTCCGTCTTAGTTACTTTTATTGTTCCGTCGCGACGACGAAGACGTCGCCCGTCGGAACTATGATATAACATTTGTCGTTTCGTAGTGATTTGAAAGCCGCAACGCCTTTACTTGGAACAATTAAGCGACTAAAATGACCTATTAACACTCGACTTTTAAGTTTATTACCTCTCTATTTGAGTATACACTCTCAAAGTTGTTGTGGAATACTCAAAAAAATCGAATTAAATTTAATTTCGCTTAATCTCTTAAATCCTATCCACTTCATTCGGCTAATTATACCAATAATATTAAATTAATATTAATTTTTTTGTTATTAAACAGTTTTGGAAGTTACGTTTATTGTAAGAGCAATAAAGGTGATGTTAAAGCTTTGTCTAAGTCTGGTTTTTTCATCAACTTGGGGGCTTTCACCGAATCTCGTTTATTTTCATTTAACTTGTCCTAAGGGGGAAGTTAAATTCCCTTTAGGAGCGAAAAAAATTATTAAAAAAAAATGTATTAAAAAGAATTGTACTGATTTGTAGTTATTAGCCTAAATATAAACTTTTAAATCGTTAAGATAAGCGCCGGATCGCGATCATTTTATCGAGTCATTGTGTTTTGTTTGAGAGAAAAATCAATCTGGTCGATTCAATTGATTTCTTATCTCGCGTAGATACAGGCCAATGTCGATTGTATTTTTATCTGGGGTTAGTTAAAAAAATATTATGTATTATATCAAAATGTATATTGTATTAATGTGCTTTTTGTGTGCATGATTAATCTAAAAGGTGTTATTGTATGAATTTCTTTGTTTGATGTAAAAGGTCTTCATTGGATTGGAATTTTCAATTCCGCAGAGCGTTCACGCCGAATCACACAACGAACGATCGAAATAAAGGCGGAAAACGGGGCAAGAAAGGCGACAGAGGCAATCAGAGGTTGAAACCGCAGCCGATTGTTTAGGTCGCCCCGGATGAAGTACCCAATTACTGGCCGAGTAACGTAATTAGCCAACCAACCGACTTCTGTTCCGTCGACATTCTGCCGCCACAGTACCACTCAATCTATTTCTCCATTCTTGACAATATCACGCAACTAAGCTAAAATAATACAAATCACAAAAAAAATTTTTGTTGTGAATCAAATTCCAAGAATATAATTAGTATTGAATTTAAAACGGTAGCTGGGTTCTCGGTTAGGATGATGATGGTGTCTGGAGGTAATCATCAAATGGTTTTAAAAGCAGACGGTGAATAACAACGGCGTAGCTGTTACAATTAGAGGCGATTCGTAATCTGTCAGGCATTGAATGCAGAGTGCCCATTACCGGGCGGATAATAATGAATAAAAAAAACGAGCCTCTGCACGGGCCACACGCACATCACAACCGTCGAGGCCAAAGCCTTATAGAAATTGCTACGGACCTCTGGGCGGTTAGTTATAGAGAGTTGCCGACGTTTTCTGTTGGTACGACCACCGGCAAACCATTAGCGACATATGATTGATATGGGTACGAGGAGGATACCCAAAACGTCTCTTTAGAATACTTCTTTAACTATACTAATCTTCGTACCATAACCAAAGCGGGCGTCTATTTAAAAAAACTTAAAAATTTTAACTAAAATTATTAACTCAAAAAAAAAAAAATTGTTTCTTACCATTTTTAGAAGCAAATAGTACCTAATAAACCGATTGTAAAATTCTGTTACGTTCAGATATTGTTTTCTTCCATATAAAGTAGTAAGAAATCAGAACAGAAAATAAAATCCCCGATATGGAGTCAGAAAACTGCTCTATAAAATGTTGTACCTTAACAGGTGTTAATTGGAACACACCGGTGTTCCGGATTTAGTTATCAATATATATTTCATATTTGTAAGTGCTAACAATATTTGAGTCGCACGCAAAATCAAAAAATTAAATTTGATATGACAAGATTTAAAAATTATATATATTTGGTTGACAATAATGCAAAAGAAATAGGGAAGACATTGATCTTCAGTAAAGCTCAATGTTCATATCTTGGCGTGATCTCTTCCATTTCAATTAGATTAGACCAATTATGCATAGATTATGGGCAGAAATGTTGGGTGTGCCACATAAACTTGCCAGATTAATGTATATTGATATAATGGATATTACTCACAGTGAGCCATGTGTCTCCTTACCTACCATACTAATCATTCCACTATTTGATCTTAAGCATTTATATAATCCGGGGACAAATGTTATCATCGGTACCAGCATTCTGACGTTTTTGTGCATATCTTACGTTAGTTTTCTGTATAAATTCGTGATAGCAGGCTTGAGTTTTGAGTAGATTTTAGCAATCAAAGGGCAATTCTTTGCCAACGGCCGTGAGATGAAGATTTGCGAAATCCTATCTACTCTGTTGATCACTGGACAATCGATTTTATTAAGACTTCTAATCAGAAATCTAGTACAGAACTTAGTTCTAACTTCAATAGATGTTTCACCCGTTTTAGGTTAGGTTTTGGTTGTCAAATGTCAATATTACCAACTTAAACTTGAACATTCTATAAAATTATCACAGTTTTCTCCAAATTCATAAAAAACTCAACATCCAGAACCAATCTTGACAAACGGATTGAAGATTCGGATTTGGCGCATCAAATTACGACGAGAATCGTTCTTATATAGTCGGATTCACAAATTTATCGGAATTTGTAAAATTGTATCTTTTTTGTATCTCTTTGAAATAACACAAATATCATCTGGTTACCTTTCAAGATTTGAATTCTCCAAAACTATACTCAAAAATAAAAAAATAAAGCGTTTATTTTAAACAATTTTTCGATTTTGACATATCTTCATGTTACATATCAGAGTAAAGTTAGTTACATATTGAAGTTGATTATATAATACCAACCCCTTAACAATATCAATTCCCATCAAAATTGACATATTGAATTTTGTTAGCCAAAACGTCATGTAATTTGCTATTTTTTAAGAAATAATTCTAAAAGCTAAAAACTCGGTAATAATCCACAAATTGAATGTTAAAACAAACCTATTCGAATCATTAATTTTTACCTTTTGGTTTTATCTACAAATATGTTTGCTGACGTTATCTTGGACAACTTGGCAGCGTAAAACCGTATCTACCCGCGTTGATGTAAAAATATACGAAAAAATCGAAACAAATCATCGATAAACGCCGATTAATTTGTGGAAAACTTCCATGATGTTTCAAAATTTATTTATAGTTTATTAATTTTTCAAATTTGGATCAAAAATTATAACCGAAACTAATTAGTGATATAAATTTTGATTTTGGGTTGAAAAAGGAATCTTATCTTTTAGTACCGATTTGAATTATGGTACCACTTGATGACTCCAATCACAGCTTATTATCAATTGTATGTACTGATGAGGATAATTTGGAGAGATTTTGTCATAAAGATGTAATTAGGTGTTTGTTTATTTTATTCGATGTTATACAATCCAATTTCTAATCTTTATTAAGTATATTTTTTTAAGTAGGATTTTTTTTGGGGGGAATTAAAACATCTTTTTTTTATATAATTCATTTATATTTTAAAAGAAATAAATAACTTTTTGTACACAATCTGATTTTTTTAAAGATTTTTTTAAAACCCGGCTATCTACACACACGATTTTACTAAAACATATCTACAAAATAGGAATGTTCACGTCTTTATAAACTAAATTCTTCGATTTTTTTTGTATTTTAAACACTTTTAAATTTTCTTTTAAAATTTTGGTACTGGCCTTCTTAAAATCTATTTACACATTTAATAATGAGGTACGAAAAAAATTAATTTTAAAGAATTTCTATCTCTACCTTCATGTTATTCTTGAAGATGGAGATCTTTTTTTTTTATTTTTTGTAAATGTCTCGATCGTATCTTCTCAAAAAAAAAATTAATTTAGTTTCGTGCGTACCGTTTTTATCGCCACGATCGGCCCGATAAAGAGAACATGTTTATTTGACGAATTTATCTGTACAAACTATACACAGGCGATAAAATACATAGTCTCTCACTTTCCCTCTCTGTTTGCAACCGAAAAAAAATTATTTTGTTTACCCAAAAATTATTATGAAACTAACTTTTATCTTAAAAAAAAAAATTACTTTTTTAAACATTTTTTTCGGTTACAAAAAGAGATTTGTTTAAATAAAACCTCTACCACCATACTCTCGGTTGACCATGCATAATTTGATGGGTATAAGAAGGCATCATTATGTGTTGGGGAATTTGTAGCGTGCCGTCGCTTGGTTTTGGACCACTTCCGCCTAAGCAAGGTTTTCCATCTCGTACCAAAACCGGAACTGCCACCCTTCTCGGTGATGGGGTTGTATTATTGTTTTGTTGATCGTGCAAACCTTTTTCATGCATTGCCCTTTTAGTTTTATATCTATAAACAAATAAAAACAAAACAAATATATTGGCGAATTGAAAAGAAATAATTATTATTGCTTTATTAATAGAATAAAAAGTGACTTTCAATTCGTTATTTTATGACTTATTGTTTTAACATTGCCTTTATATGACGAATAGCCACAGGAATGGCACCTTTTACGTAACATTACCGTATGAAATCTGTTATTGATTGGTGGATATCCAGCAAATAGCAACGTATGAAAGAAATTGAGTACAATTTATTGTTAAAATTTATTAAAAGTTTTTAGAGTTTCGGTTGGTATTACTTAGGGTGACATTTAAAATGACATTTTCAGTAATTAGTTAATTGAGGTTAAGAAATTAATATGAAAACATTTATTGTAAAAGACGCGATTTTAATACCCCAAAATATTTAGTATGCATCATCTTTATCGTTGAATTCATCAGAATGTTCCAAGTTTATAATAAATGAAAAAAGATCTTTTAAGAAAGTATTACTGATACTTTCTTAATCGACTTGATTTATAGCTCCATACTTCTACTGTACAATTTAATAAAGCAGTCCGTAATTATCATATCAACTCAAAACTAATGATCACATTTTGCAAAGATGGATATAATATTAAGTTCGGTACCTTGGCCGTAAAGGATCTCAATATTAACTCGATATTAATTACATAGTCTTGCCCGCAAATGAAACCCAAATGATTCTCGTTCTACGTGTTGTGTCAGTTCTAGTGACAGTCCTAGTATAAAACTAGAACTAACACTAGATCGAGAACTAGAAACATTCGGTTTTAGCCGCACGTCTCTCAAGGCGGCCAAACCCGAATGATTCTAGGTCTAGTGTTAGTTTTAGTGCTAGTGTTAGTCTAGTATCACATTTTAGGATCACATTTTGCAAAGATGGAACTTCGGTAGTTCGGCCGCAAGGGATCTCAATATTAACTCGATATTAATTGCATAGTCTTGGCCGCAAACATCTCGCCTTAACTAGGATTGCTTTAATTAAAGCTGAGGAACAACAGCAAGCGACTTTGGCTTAATCAGATAGTCATACATTTATTATTTTAAACCCGACGCCGCTTGCGGCCGAGGAGTAGCAATATGATGACCAGTCTTAGGTTGTTATAATATTATTCACTGAACCTCAGTTGTAAGCGACGTTGGCTTAATCAGATAAAATCATGCATTTTCCACTACAATTAAAGCCGAGACCGCTGCAATATGTTGACCAGTTTGAGGTTGATATAATGTTAAGCACTGAGCCTCAGCCGCAAGCGATCTCGGCTTAATAAGATAAAATTCTACACTTCTCGATCCGATTCCAATATTGTATCGATATAATGTCAATTGAACTACTGCCTCGGCTAAATTAAACCAAAAGTGTGATATTGTGGTGTTAAGACGAAATCGCTTACGACTGAGGCACTATAAAATATCTTGTCTAATTCCAATATTGTAGCGATACGATGTCAATTGAAGTACTGCCTCGGCCGCAAGCGACCTCGGCTTAATTAAAACGAAAGGTGATGTTGCGGTGTTAAGCCGAAGCCGCTTGCGGCTGAGGCACTACAATATATCTTGTATAGTTGCAATATTGTATCGATATGATGCCAATTGAAGTACTGCCTCAGCCGCAAGCGACCTCGGCTAAGTTAAAAAGAAAGTGATGTTGTAGTGTTAAGCCGAAGCCGCTTTCAGACGATGAGTTGCAATATTGTATCGATATGATATTAATTGAAGTACTGCCTCGGCCGCAAGCGACCTCGGCTTATTTAATGCGAAAGTGTAATGTTGTAGTGTTAAGCCGAAGCCGCTTCCAGACGATGAGTTGCAATATTGTATCGATATGATATTAATTGACGTACTGCCTCGGCCGCAAGCGACCTCGGCTTATTTAATCCGAAAGTGTAATGTTGTAGTGTTAAGCTGAAGCCGCTTCCAGACGATGAGTTGCAATATATTTTGTCAAATTGCAATATTGTATCGATATGACGTCAATTGAAGTACTGCCTCGGCCGCAAGCGACCTCGGCTAAGTTAAAAAGAAAGTGTGATGTTGTAGTGTTAAGCCGAATTCGCTTCCAGACGATGAGTTGCAATATTGAATCGATATGATATTAATTGAAGTACTGCCTCGGCCGCAAGCGACCTCGGCTTATTTAATGCGAAAGTGTAATGTTGTAGTGTTAAGCCGAACCCGTTTCCAGACGATCAGTTGCAATATTGTATCGATATGATGTCAATTAAAGTACTGCCTCGGCCGCAAGCAACCTCGGCTAAGTTAAAAAGAAAGTGTGATGTTGTAGTGTTAAGCCGAAGTCGCTTCCAGACGATGAGTTGCAATATTGAATCGATATGATATTAATTGAAGTACTGCCTCGGCCGCAAGCGACCTCGGCATAGGTAAAACGAAAGTGTAATGTTGTGGCCTGCTTTAAAAATAAAATTTGCTTTTAAATTACTTGCTGGATACACACACGCCAAATAACTTTGAATTCTATATATCATTTTAAATTTTTCAAATCTCAACACTAACCTGTGATTTTGAAACCAAATCTTCACTTGAGTCGGCGTTAACCTAATAATCGAAGCCAAATGTTCTCTTTCCGGTGCGGATAGATACCGTTGCTGTCGAAACCTCCTCTCCAACTCGTAAGTTTGCGCTTTCGAGAACAACACCCTCCGCTTCCTTTTTTTATGTCCGCCGCCGGATTGTTGTTGTTGCGCCACTTCTTCATCGTCGTCATGTTCTTCATCGGGCGATTGCAACCCAGAATTTTCTCCTAAATGATGATGGTGATGGTGATTCGAAGAGGTCTCCGCCGGCAGAGATCTCTCCGAAATCGACGGACTCGTGCTATCCGGACTAAGTTGTTGGTGATGATGTGGTAATATTCCTGAAAACAAGTAGAAAAAAAGGTTGGTGAAGAATTCATTTTGACGGGAGGGGTAAAAATCTTTTTATAAATCGTTTCCAAAAGGTTCTTAAATAGAGGGTTGGTCTTCTACCCTGATTGGTGGTTGTTGCACGCCTTCGAACTGTACATTATTTTTTTTGTGTACTAGACAGCTGTGGATGGTGGCAGCTGCTTTTGTTACATCTATGTCATTTGTCAACAACCGCCATGGCAACCCCGATTGTTCTCGCGAGGGTTGTTGTAAATTTCAGATTAGTTTGGGTTGAGTAAAATAAATTTATTTAAGATCATTAAATTTTTATCATAAACCCACGGAATATTTTCAATTAACCTAATGGATAAAATGCATCATCTACACTTGATAAAAACAACGATAAGAAATAGTTTTATTTCACTTATCATTACATCAATTTTTTTTTTGTATAATATATTTTCGTTAACTCAAATATTTTAGGTGTGTTGCAAGGTTACTATTTTTACGATCATTTTAATACTATCTAATTCTCAAAAAAAAATATGAGATACCAATCTCCTCCTCTATCACTTATTACACGATTTCTATTTAAAAATTAATTTTTTCTATTTTTCTGTTGACTTTACCGAAATGATAAGATTTAAAAATTATTTTCTTTTAATTCTACAAGTTACAAAAATTATATTATTTAAACTTTTTAATTAGAATAATTATTTAAAAAATAAGTTAATAACTAACTTCACAACTGTCAAATTTTATTTCATTTAAATAACCCTCGTAATTAAAAATTTAAATAAAAAATAAAATAATCATTTTTAATTTAGTTTAATAAATTGCAAAATCTTCTTTGATAAATTATTTAATAACAATTAATTAATTAATGACAATTTAATTTTTTTGATTTCCAATAACTCTAATAGATGGCTGTAGTAGGCAATTGAACCTGATTTAACAGGTTTTATTTTATTTATTTTCCGATTTCGGAACTTATAAAAACCTGTTATCGGACTAATAAATATACAAACATATAATTTACAACGTGGAACATTTATTTTTATTTAAAAATTTGTTATTTTTTTGATTTATTTCTGAGGTTAGTTACATAGCGAAGTTTGTCGCATAAAGGTAGTTGACATTCAATTTTGACAGCCAAAACGTCAACAAAAATTAACACAGTTACGCGCTCTTATTCAATGTCTTAGGTTGAAACTGGATTATTTATATAATTCCGAAATAATTTAAATTTTCTTTTGCAGTGATGAAGTAAAAAAAATCCTACAATTACGAAGAAGTGCGAATGAATCTTTGGGAGGCGTCGAAGAAATAATGACGTTAATTGGAAAGTATGATGATTTTTATAAAAGCTTGTATAAATATTTGAGAACTGGTTCAAAACTAACCAAAACTGACTGTCTATAATGATCAACCAATTTTTAGGTTAATACTCTTTGAACACTTGTCAAAATGATTGAAAGTTGGTTAACAGCCGCTCTAAATTGCTCAAAATGATTGAAAACTGAATAGTAATCATTGGAAATTCATCTTGAAATAATTTGAGACTATTTTATGAGCCATGAAAACGTGTCTAAACATGTTTATAGCTTATTGATGATGTTCAAAATGATTGAAAACTCGTTTATGATAGTTAAAAACTTCTCTAAATAATTGAGAACTAGTTTGTAACTGTTTTAGATTGCCCAAGATGTTTCAAAATTGTTCTGAATGCTGAAAAATTGATTTGTAACTTTTTGAAATTTGTCTAAATGACAGAAAAAAGTTTTGCTGTTACCCAACCTGTTCTAAATGATTGGATATCAGTTGAAAATTATTTACAGGTTTACAAAATTGTTCTGAATCAGTAAAACTGCTTAAAAATTATTACTGTTTAAAATTATGAACGAATTCTGTAAAAACATTTAAATGGTTTCAAATTACTTCAAAGTGCTGCGAATTAATTGGTATTTATTTAAAAACCTGTTTAAATGATACGAGCTGGTTCATAACTATTTCAAGTTTAAGATTAAATATGAGTAAAAGTGACATTTTGAAGCTAAACTCAAAAATATTAAGAAGTTATGTGAAATTAACACACTGTCTCAAAAACTAAAAGTGATTTTTCAAAACGGACCTTTTCATTAAAAAGTAGATACTTTAATTGATACTTGGCGAAAGTTTTATAAAGATTTTCCAAGATTTAATCGATTTTTTACAAATTTTTCAACTTAAGTGTGCTAAGAACGAAGCAGCAGCCGCCGAAGACACTTGGTTAACCCCAATTGTATCTAATTATAGGTCTAGTGTTAGTGCTAACGTTAGTTAGTGTTAAAAATTGAAACTAGAACTAATATTAAACCTAGAACTAGAAATATTCTGGTTTAGCCGTCTTGAGAGACTTACGGATAAACCAGAATGTTTCTAGTTCTAGGTCTAATGTTAGTTTTAGTCCTAGAACTAAAATGGAACTAACACTAAACCTAGAACTAAAAACATTCGGGTTTAGCCTCACGTCTCTTAAGACGGCTAAACCCAAATGTTTCTAGTTCTAGGTTTAGTGTTAGTTTTAGTTTTAATTATGATTCAGTGCTAGGTTGTTATATATTTTTATTGAACTTACACTAAATCTAGAAACTAGAAACATTCAAGGTTAGCCGTCTTAAGAGACGTACGGCTAAACTTGAATGTTTCTAGTTCTAGATTTAGTGTTAGTTTTATTGTTAGTTCAATAAAAATATAGAACAATAAAACGCTGAATAACAAGCTCAAAACATATCTTTCCAATACTAAATCGTAATCTAAGACAACATTAACGTAATCTAACGCATCTTAAACGCAACTTTTTGCAAACAATTAGCAATTATTACAATAATAAAGTATAGGTCAACTCAAATAACTTTAGGGGTGAAGTTTGAGAAACGAGAACAACGCAGTAGGTCATACTCTTAGTGAGATTATTCTTTCCCAAGCGTCCGGGTCAACTTAGCTAATAAACCTGTGGCAAATCTTATCTATGGCTATAAAAAAGTACTAAAAAAAATAGTCTTTTGTTAAAAAATGTCAAGTTTTTTCATATCACTCGCAAAGTTATCTATGTCGACCTATATATACATTTTATTTAACTTACCTATTTCTGCGGGTGATGTTAAAGGCCAATGTCTTGTTGGTGGTGATGTTAACATAGTTTGGGTCGTAATGAGATCTTGATGTACTGGATAATTTGAGGGTTGATCACTTCCGTTTTCTAAACCTCCGGGTGTCCTATCGTTCAGTTCGAGAATATCGCTTATTGCAAAACCGGCCGGTTGTCTTTGACCGACAGTTGTAGCTTTCATGGTATCTAATAATCTGAAACGAAGAGATTTCTTTAAAAAAAAATAATAATAAAAATCTTTTCTTTGAATAAGTAACTAAAAATAAGTAACCTCTCAGGTATTTGAAAGATTTTTTTTCTCTTTAACATCAGGTGACAATGAGACCGAAATCTTCGGGAATGTCGAAAAGTCACGTTTAGGCAATCAGAACGTGTCCGGTGGACAAGTGCCGTTTTAACAGCTCCTAACCAGGTTAAAAACCCCCAAGTGGCTATTGAAAAGATGATGGAACACCTGAACCATCTACAACGAACGCTGTTTAAACAGTTTAAAGAGTAAACAATACTCCACTTGAAATTTAAATTACTTTTTTATTTTCTTTATTTCTTAGTTTTAAGAAAAAGTGTTGAAAAAGAAAGTTGATTTTCTAAATAATTATTGCATTACAAAGTTGTATTAACAATTTCCAATTAACATAGAGCGTTTCGTTATTAATTTCACGCAAGATTTGATCCAATTTAATATAATTGAAAATATAAATGGGAATAAAAGTTAGTTTTTTGCAACTTAATTATTAATGCTGACCTTATGGCAGCTGGTGAACACCAAGCTCCGGGTAATAAAGGTGCCCACGGATGTAAAAGAAGTGGTGGCCACGCTAAAAACGGAGCAGCAGCCGCAGCAGCAGCCGCCGAAGATGCAGTTGCCGGCGGCATAGTAACCCCAACACCGACTCCTTCACCACCAGCACCACCACCTGGGGTGACTTTTTTCTCTTCTTGAGCCACTTTGAATCACTTTAACAAAACCACCAAACAAAAAAAATCCAATCAAGTTTTTTTTAACAAAATAACCCGAAATGTGTATCCAAAAATTGCAAAATTTTTTTTTGAATCACTATGAAAAGTTTTTAAACTGAGTTCTTGGGATACCTTTGAGTGGCGCACACGCGAACTCTTGAGGTCTTCTGGAGGACCACTGAATAGCGCTGAAGAGACTCTCCACTCGATGGTCCTCGTGCTCTTAGGCGGCGCTCCAATCCGCACGAAGACGACCAGAGGCGGAGTTTTAGGGGGCCAATGAAAGAACGAAATGGTTTTGTATCGAACCGGGTAGATGTGGTTAGAATGTGAAAGGTAACAGAGGTGGGGTTGAATTTGGGGGAGAGAGAAACGATAAAAAGAGATCCCGTAAAAGTTATTTCAACCCCCCCAACAAAAAAAAGAGGGAATTACATCGGGATGAAGGTGAGTGGTAATTGTTTCGTTTTGAAAAAGGGGTTGAAAAGTATGTACTGGTTACTTTTTTCTTTTTGTGTTGGTTTTTGGGGACTGGTTTAAAATTGGTACAGATGTTTTGTGGTTTAAATGTATTCACATTGGAAGATTTATAAGTTTGCTTAGAAGATTTTCGTTCAAGATGAGTTTGAAAAGTGTATTTGAGTTATGCGGTGGGGTTAAATTTATTATAGCAATACAGGAAATATTAAGATATCAAGAAAGAACCAAAAACTAAAGTGTGGCAGAAACAAAAATACTTGAAAGAAAAAAGGAAATAAGATATAGATATTGAATACCTTGAAAGACAGAAACTTGAACGAATCCAGAAGGGTAGAAGCAGGATATAAATCAGAAGAAACCATAAAACCCAGAATAAAGCCAGAAAATAGAGAATGTCTGAAATTATAAAAATAAAGGATAACTGATAAGGACAATATGCCAGAAATGAGGGAGATGGAGATGGTAAAGAAGAAAGTTGGCTCAGATAAAAAAATTAATCAGAAATTGTGAATGATGCTAGTAAATGCGGAGAGGAGAGAAGAAAAATCAATAAAGAGAAAAATAGGTGGCAGAAAAAAAAAGTTGAAGACGCCATAACATTTATTGATGACCAGATGAAATGATAGAAAGCCAAAGAAATGAAAGCCAAAGCATGAAACCAAAAATTAAGAATCCAGAATTAAGCAGGAATCGGAAAACAATCTGGGATATTGAAAAATATGTTTCAGAAACTAAGAATATGGAAATAGTAAACAAACCTAAGAAGAAAACCAAAACAATGAAGTCCGGATTAAATATAAACAATTCTAGAAGATGCCAATTACAAAAATAGAGGATAATAACAAGATAATGACCTGTTATACGTTTATATAATCTTAATTACTGAGGTCACAAACGGATTAAGCTTAATTAACCAAAAGATCTACAACTTCGGCTAAAACCGAATGTTTTTAATTCTAGTTGTAGATCTAGTGTTAGGTTTAAAAATGATTATACTTAAATAGAAAGCGTTCCAAAGCTAGTAGAAAATAGAAAAAGCTCGATTAAGGACAATTAAATTGAAAAAGGGCTTTTGAAAGTGCTTCAAAGTTGCCAAAAAAGTAAATAAAAGTGATGTCAAAAGTGGTGTGTGTCAAAATGGTTCTACTCTAGAAGAAACATCTTGAGAATACTTAATAGTGAAAAAATAAGTTAAAATAATTAAAAGGATTATTGCCCATAAACTTGAAGGTATTAAAAAAAATGGATTTATTGATTATTTTGGTTCTAAATGGTTTAAAATATCTCTGTGGCACTTAAATAACATGATTAAATTGAATGTAAGTTACCAAAAAGTAGAAAATAGTTGTTGATGTGTATCAAAATTGTTCCAATCGACAAGAAACATCTCGAGAATACTTGATAAGGTGAAAATAAGTTAAAATAATTAAATTGGATGTTATCCATAAACTAGAAAGAATTCAAAAAATGGGAATAATTGATTTTGGTTTAGATTGTTGTGTATTTTTATTGAACTATAATTAGAAATAACACTAGACTTAAAACTAGAAAGTTTCGGGTATAGCCGAACGCTGAAAAATGTTTGTCTAAATGCCAAAGAATAGATTTGCTGTTACCCAACCTATTCTAAATCATTGGATATCAGTTGAAAATTAATTAGAGGTTTCCAAAATTGTTCTAAATCAGTAAAAACTGCTTAAAAATTATGAACCAATTTTGCAAAAACATCTAAATGATTTCAAATTACTTTAAAGTGATTGCGAATTAATTGATATTTATTTAAAAACCTGTCTAAATGATACGGGCTGGTTCATTTCAGGTTTAAGATTAAATATGAGTAAAAGTGACATTTTGAAGCCAAACTCAAAAACCTTAAAAAGTTTTGTAAAATTTTGATCGAAATTAACATGCTCTATCTCAAAAACTAAAAGCGATTTTTCAAAACGGACTTTTCCATTAAAAAGTAGACACTTTAATTTGATAGAAGGCGAAAGTTTTATATAAATTTTTCAAGTTTGAAGCGATTTTTCAATTTTTATTTGGGCTAAGTCCAAATGTTTCTAGTTCTAGGTCTAGTGTTAGTGCTCAATGCTAAAAACTGAAACTAGAAGTAACACTATCACTAACACTAAACCTAGAACTATAAACATTCTGGTTTAGCCGTAAATTTCTTAAGACGGCTAAACCAGAATATTTCTAGTTCTAGGTCTAGTGTTAGTTTTAGTGCTAGAACTAAAATGAAACTAACACTAGACCTAGAAATAAAAACGTCCGGGTTTAGCCGTCTTTAAAGACGTTCGGCTAAACCCGAAACTTTCTAGTTTTAGGTCTAGTGTTAGTTTTAGTTTTAATTGTTACTCAGCGCTAGATTGTTGTATATTTGCATTGAACTAGAACTAACATTAGACCTAGAACTAGTTCTAGGTGTACTGTAATTCTAATATTAGTGGAAGTATTAATTTTAAACTAGAACTAACACTAGATCTAGAATTAGAGCCATTCGGGTTTAGGAGCCATTTCGACTGTTTCTAGTTATATTATTAATTATAGTGTTATATATAGAGATATGTATAGAGATAGAATGTAAAAAATATTTTTTTTTAACTTTTATATCTTATTTATACAATCCACTTGAAAACGTTGAATACGAAATGAAATAATACAAACAAAATTACACCAGAGTGTATTTATACATGACAAAATTTCGTAATAACAGGCAGTAAACAGTGATATCGGGATTATTGGTATTAATCCAGGTGAGTACGCGAGGATTACCGGAGATTATCTTGTTCGTACACACATTTTGATACAATACCGGAACCCAAATTCCCAATTTACCTCAATTTTTTTTTTAAAGCGTTAAATCCATTTTGATATCGTAATAGAATTAACAGGATAACCGAAAAAAAAAAATTGTTTGACTGAAGGTGAGAAATTTCGGTGTTTAGTTAATTTAACACCTACCTCGAAACCTTTCGATTTTGAAGACTTTTATCCTAAAGCGCGAAACTTAGCATAACCCTAAAAGGTTTCTATTTTCTTCCACCTAAAGAATTTACCCTAATAATATTCAAACATCCACTTTGAGTCTATCCTATTTTGGAGTTTTTCGACACCTGTGTGCTCGAAGACTCGAAGAACCAGGTAAATTTTCTCTCCCAGACAGCTCGCCGCCACAAGTTTTTTTTTTTCTTCGGACCACCCCTTACGTCGGGTTATCCTTAAAGCGATTCTTCTTCATTCACAAACGTTTAACTTTCATAACGGAGTTACGAGAGTCCACATCCGGTCGTTCTCGCTTTAGGTTTCTTTTTAAAGGTGAGAAGTATAAATGAAAAGAAAGAGATGGTCAAACGGACCCACTTAATACGTCCTTCGTCATCTCCACGATTTTTTTTTGAAGGTTAAAAATTTTATTTTATTATTTTTGTGGTCGGGGAATTTTTAAGGATGAAAATTTTAATTTAAGGTCATTGAGTGTATAAAGTGTTCTTTTTTTGAGGATAATATAGTAAAGAGTGGGGAGAGGGTGAAATATCCCCATCTACCTTCATTGTATTTGGGTGTGAGAGGGTTCCTGTGATCGTCATCAGGACTGTGGAGGACACTCAGCGGTCGTAAGAGTGCGTCCTCCACCAATCCCCAACAACTCCCACGCCTCTAAGACAGAATGTGACCGTTCCCTCGACGTCGGTAGGTGTATAGTAAAAAAGATCAGGTTAAAGAAGGGGAAAACCCTGGGACAGTAGGGGTAAAATAAAAGGATCATCACGATTACTTTTTACGTCGTTATGCACAAACAGCTAGATAATAATACATAATACATATAAAAAGTAAAAATTAATTTACATTGTTATTACGAATCGATTTGGATTTTTTTTGGTCGAAACGAGAACAATGTTGGTGATTATTATCAAATAATTAAAAATATATCATATGACCCCGCTGTGATAATCGCAAATCAAGATTGTGTTTTTGTATAATGAAAGGAGTGATTGGATCTATTGAAATAATAATACAATTCGGACAATAATTAAATATTAAAAAGATCACCTTCATTTTAAACTAAAACTTATCGAAATGATTCTATTAAATTTCTCTTGCGAACACTATAACAACAAAAAATCATTGTGTTAATAAAATTGTTCATTAAAAAGGAATGAATTATGAAAGTTTTACCCTCAATTGAAGAATGTACATAACAAAACAAAGTTTTCTGTTGGAAATGAAAAATAATACAAAACAACCCGAATACGACAACAACACGTTTAAAGATAAAATAAGCA